ATAAAAGGAACCCCATCTAGATGTGAAAAGACATAAGGTACATAATAACCAAACACAGTGTCTGGACCTTGACTCTCATTTGAACAAACTATTGGAAAAGAGTTTTTTTTGAGACAGTGGTAAATATTGTTATGAACTGAGTATTAAATGATGCCAAGGAATTATTGTTAATTTTTATATGTGTGATAATATATTGTGTTTACTTAAGAAAAAAAATTTTTTGAGAAATGGAGGAGTAAAACAAAACAATGTCTGGAATTGCTTCAGCAAAGACAATCAAAAAGAGAAAAAGAAGGAATGTTTCTAAATCTTGAAAACTCTGCATATGGAGATTCATTTTACTATTCTCTCTCCTTCTGTATCTGTTTGCAATTGTTTAATAAGGAAAAATACTACAAAAATTTGGAAAAAACTTGAAGATCAGAGAATATTTAAATTTTCTCTAGGGAATTACCTTCTCTGTCTAGAGCTACTATCCAATACAGTAGCCATGGCCACATGTGCTATTGAGCATTGAGGTGTTACTAGTCTGAATTGAGATGTGCCATAAATATGTAATATATGATGGATTTCAAGGACTTTATACAATAAAAAGGAAAGTAAAATATATCACATTCATAATTTTAAAATAGTTATTATATGTTGAAGCAACAATATTTTGTATATATTAGGTTAAATAAAATAATATTAAAATTATTTGTATCTGTTTCTTTTACTTTTTTTAATGTAACTACTAGAAAATATAAAATTACATATGTGGTTTGATATAGGTTGAAGAAGGAGAGCGTTCTAGGGAAAGTAATACAAACAGGTTTCTTGGAAGTTTTTGAAAGCTGGGGAAGGAGTAGAACCGTTGATGGAACTTAGTACGTAATACCAGCACACTGACTTTTTTTCAGTAGTGTCAAGTAAAGTCGGAATGTTTTGTAGCAGAAAGACTTTCAAAACAGGAAATTTGAGCCAGTTTTCAGCTTCCTGCTATATTTGCAGAGCATGAGAAGACAGCATTAAATTGGCAAGGCTACCTAAACAGTATAGTAAACTAAGAATTAAAAGTCCTTTAAACTGGTGGAAACATAGTAAGACACTCAAAGCATTTAATGCTACAAGAATATCAAATAGATTTAAAACCTCTGGTTGCTGTAGTTACATAAGTTCTTAAGAAAAATCATTTTTTGTTGAACTGGTTTTATATTGTACTAGTTTGCACATACCAACTCATTTTAGAGATTGACTTTTAGAGAAAATTATATTACTAAGCACTCTTATAGTTCCCCCATGATTTAAAAACAATCTCTACTTTATAATGACTATATAAGCGTATTCACATTAAGTGCTCAGTTTTAAAATGAAAACTATCAGAAATATATGTCTTAAAATGAACTATTTAAGGATTTCTTTTTTTGGTAGACTGTCCACTGCTGGACTGATTAGCTACTTATACTCATTTGGGGAGGATGTGTCTAAAGTTCATAACTCCCAATTCTGATGAACCCATTCTCCTCATGAACCCTCACATGTCTAAATGTCTAATTTCTTCATTGTTTTAACTTCTATTTCCTGGTAAGCTTTACAAGGGAGGGAACTGAAATATGAATAGCATAATAACCACTTGGTATATGGGCAGACTCTAGCCTGGCATGAAGCAGCCGAAATGAACTGGCAAGCATATGCGGCTATATGACTCTACCAGGTCCCAAAGGAGCAGCAGCTTTCAGGTATCCTAGGGAATTGTGCATTATTAACAAGACTAAAATGTTTTTAATAAGCCTGATTTGCCAAGGTAAAAGACTTGTTTTTGCCTTTTGTGTTTGGCAGCATCAGCAGTCAAGGAGGGAGCTGGAAGCTACCCAGATTTGCCAGGGCAAAACTTTCACAGCCTTGGGCAAGATCTAGAACGCAAGCTGAACGGGTGCTTGATTTACACATTTTCCAGTACTAAGTTTCACAACTGCTGTTTAACAAATAATAAATCAATAATGGTAGTGAGGAAAGTTTAGAGGGCCATGTTCAGGATCTAAAAAAATCAATGTACATACATGTTCCCTTAAGCTGGTCTAGGGGGTTGAAATATTGATTGGTGTGGGAACTACAGCCTTGCTTGAACATTTCACTGGTTTAATTCAGTCTAGGGTGGTAGAGATTGAAATATATTCAAAATAAATTAAATTCTGCAGTGACAGTAAAATTCAAATATAATTCAAATCCAATATTCTCCTATCAAAATAATCCTTTTGCTGAAAAATTTGATTAAGAGGAACATAAATGAATTATTTAACTTGCTGATTTTGCCAAGTGCAAACAGTGAGGGGCTTACAAAAACTTTGTATCTGATAAATATATCTGGAACTGCAGGTAAGAAATTAGGAAATGTGCTTCTATAGCTCATATGAATGAGGGGCCAAAGAGAGGAAAAATTCTGTTGAATTACCTCAAATCTCATGTGTAGGGATGGCTTTTTTTTTTTCTTTTTTTTTTTTTTCTTTTTGCGGTATGCGGGCCTCTCACTGCTGTGGCCTCTCCCATCGCAGAGCACAGGCTCCGGACGCGCAGGCCCAGCGGCCATGGCCCACGGGCCCAGCCGCTCCGCGGCATGTGGGATCCTCCCAGACCGGGGCACGAACCCGTGTCCCCTGCATCGGCAGGCGGACTCTCAACCACTGCGCCACCAGGGAAGCCCAGGGATGGCTTTTTTAACTTAAAGGTGTAAGATATAATTGTATCAAACTTATAATGTTCCTGAATATATTGACCAATGAATATTTTGGTTTTTAACAATATAGTAGCTTTCATGAATGTCAAATGACAAATGAAAGAATTCTGCTTTACTGGATAAGAGCAGAGAACTTTTATTAAAATACACTTTTGTTTCTAATTAAAAAATAAATATTGCCTAATGAAACCTAATCCAAGTTAAAAGAAATAATAAAACACACACACACACACATAGGTTTTCAGAGACCCTCATAATAAACATGTCAAGGAAGTTATTATTTATATCCATTGATAAAAGAGACAACAAAGGCTCAGACTGCTTTATTGTTTTTAAAAGTCACATGGCTCTGTTTTGGAGAACTAAGATTAGAATCTTGTTTTAGTTTTTTTTTTTTTTTTTTTTTTTTTGCGGTACGCAGGCCTCTCACTGCTGTGGCCTCTCCCATTGTGGAGCACATGCTCCGGACGCGCAGGCTCAGTGGCCATAGCTCACGGGCCTAGCCGCTCCGTGTCATGTGGGATCTCCCCAGACTGGGGCACGAACCCATGTCCCCTGCATCGGCAGGCGGACTCTCAACCATTGCGCCACCAGGGAAGCCCTAGAATCTTGTTTTATTAACTGCCAGCCTTTTTTTCCCCATCTATAAAACATAACATATATGCTTGGGGTTTTCTGGTTGTAGATAATTTTATTTCTATTTTGTAAGAACAGGAGCGAAATAGTTCTGGAAATATGAACACACCTTGACACAAAATAAAACTCATTTCCCTTGTTTTTTATATCAATATACCTAAACAATGATACTACCATATTATGTGTGTGCTTCACAGCTGCTAAGAGACCACACAACCAGGTAAACTGCATGATTCCTGGATTATACATCATGTATTCCCTCCCTTTCCTTAACAGCTAGGCAACAGTTTATGTGCACCAATAATAGCTAAGGTAGCTCTTATGGGCTAGAGGCTAAGGTTAAAATAAAATGTAAAGGATGAAAGAGAACCTGCTAATTTCTTCAGCTTCAATGGAGAATTTTATAGCAATCTATAGAGCCAAAAGAGAAACAAAGACCTAGCTTATTGTTAATGATCAAATTTCTGGCACACTATACCATTACAGCTGATGTTAATAATGCCTATTATAGTGCCTCTCCTATTGTTGGCCTTCAACTCAACAATTCAACAAGGTTTTAATGGAGCGCTTATTATGTACGAGGTATTGTTTGAGGTATCTGAGATACAACAAAACTGGAAAAAAAGTGACTACGCTCATGGGACTTACATTCCAGTAGAATAAGACAGACAACAAACAACAAATATAATAAATAAATTATATAGTATGTTAGAAAGCAGTAGTGATATGAAAAGAAAATTGTTGACCTGAGAACTAGAATTATATAAATAGAACTTCTGAAAAGTCAGTTGCCTAAGGTTAACTAAGTTAAAGAACTATGGTTTTACATTTATTTTAATTATATGTAATATACTGAACTAGATACTGGGGATCTGAAGATGGATAAGACAGTCTTTATCTTCAATGTCATTACAGTATCATAAGACAGACCAACACAGATGTATAGAGATAATCGTACTACAACATGCAGCATCTTATATTAGCAGTGGAAAAAAGTTAAGAGGGCAATTCTATGTGTGAGAATGGGAAAGAATGGTAGAGAATGCCAATGACATGGAAGAAGGTTGGAGTTGTTGGGGGAAGCATTTCATTAGTTTTGTTATTAATATTTGAATGGTTATCTATATTATCTATTATTGCAAGAGTAATGCATTTTTAGCAGAAAAGCTACCTAGGAAAATTTATACTGCAAAAGATGGCTTAATTTTTTTTTAACATAGTTGGCTTGATTTTAATAGTGAACTAATATACTCACCAACTGTAAACTCCCTAAGGACAAGATTTGGTCTAAATTTTTCACACATTTTATACATACTTTATTGTATAGCAAATATTTATTGACTTGAATGTTAGAACAGGTAACCTAACAGAACTTCAAGATTTATATCATTTTTTACCGAAGTTATATTTTCAAATACTATGTTATATTCCTAAGATTCTTATTTTTGCATTAGAACATGTTGTATCTTGTACAGGTTGTTTCATGTTAAATCTTAACTTATTTTGATTTTTCACACAGGTAATATAATCTCTCTCTGCTGACCTTACACTATAGAGATAGGTGACTTTGAGATTGGAGCAAAATCTCTTTATCACAGTTGGTAATTACATAATTTTTGACTCAGATAAACATCTAAAATTATTCTAATACCTTAATTTGCAGCTTTGCTTCTTGCAGTCGACCTTTCCATGAGGCCACAAATTTAAGGCTATCCACAGAGCAGACCACAGCCCTGTGAAAATAAAGCATCAAATGTCAGAAAGAGATAATATTCAGGAATTAAAATATGAATAGCTATAGAAGATATATACATTCCTATTTATTTAAAATTGAAATATTTATAATGTACAAGTAATCAGATATCTTAGGCTATGCACAATACCTCAGATTTCACACTAAGTTTTTAAAGTTAACTTGTTATGTCAGTCTCCTCTTCAAGGTTGTGTAGGTATCTTGAGGATAGGGTCTTTTATTTTTACATCCTCTGTTTTGACCATCATCCTCAAATGCAGGCACATAATGGGGGTTCAATAAATGTTTACTAGCTGAACTGAAATATGATATTTATAATATGCTCCTGAGGTACTATCAATTGAATATCTCCCAAAGCACTAAAAAGAAACTAAATTTTTTTCAGTATGTTTCTGGAAGTGTCTCTTTCATTGCATCTAACTTCTTAAAAATGATAGACTATATATGATATGATATTCCAAATTTGTTTTTAAAAAGAGTTTGAACTTAACCATCAAATACTGTTTCCCACCAAGAAGCCTAGTCAGCATTGTTTAACAGAATTTTCTACAGAGATAAATATATTTTCATTCAGTCCAAAATGGCAGCCACTACCCAAATGTGGCTATTGAGAACTTTAAATGTGGCTAGTGTACTGAGAAATTACATTTTTAATTTTATTTAACTTGTTTGGGGGGATGCTATTAAAGAATTTTAATAGCAGGTGGTGTTAGCAGTTCTTTTGTTCCTGATACAGACCAGGGTTTTTCCATCTGACTTTATAGTAGGACCACTTGGATTTGTGTGGTGTAAGCAGGATGGAAAGAGGGGAGAAGGTTCAAGGGGGAAATACGCTTTTACATAAATCACATGTGAAGGGAGTTTTGAAGTCATTATTGCTATTGCTTCAGGATGATGGGATTGCTTGTTTCTTTTGATATTAAGTTGTATGAGTTGTTTGTATATTTTGGTTATTAACTCCTTGTCAGCTGCATTATTTGCAAATATTTTCTCCCATTCCTTAGGTTGTATTTTCATTTTGCTGATGGTTTCCTTTGTTGTGCAAAAGCTTTTAAGTTTTCTTAGGTCCAATTTGTTTATTTTTACTTTTATTTCTTTTGCCTTAGGAGACAGATCCAAAAACTATTGCTACGATTTATGTCAAAGAGTGTTCTGCCTATGTTCTCTTCTAGGAGTTTTATGGTTTCATGTCTAACATTTAGAAGTTTAATCCATTTGGGGTTTATTTTGAATATGGTGTGAGGTAATGTTCTAATCTCATTGTTTTACATGTAGATGCCCAGATTTCCCAGTGCCACTTATTGAACAGACTGTCTTTTCTCCACTGTATATTCTTGCCTCCTTTGTTGTGTATTAATTGATCACAGGTGTGGGGGTTTATTTCTGGGCTCTCTAATCTGTTCCATTGATCTATGTGTCTGTTTTTGTGCCAGTAGCATGCTGTTTTGATTACTGTAGGTTTGCAGAATAGTCTGAAGTCTAGAAGGATGATATATCCAGCTTTGTTCTTTTTTATCAAGATTGCTTTGGCAGGGACTTCCCTGGCAGTCCAGTGGTTAAGACTCTGTAGGGGGGCATGGGTTCAATCCTGGTCAGGGAAGTAAGATCCTGCATACCGAGTGGCATGCCCAAAAAAAAAAAAAAAAAGATTTCTTTGGCAATTTGGAGTCTTTTGTGGTTCCATTTCAATTTTAGGATCACTTGTTCTAGTTCCATGAAAAGTGTCATGAGTATTTTGATAGGGACTGCATTAAATTTGTAGATTGTTTTTGGTAGTATATTCATTTCAACAAAATCATAAGAACAACAAGTATCTTTCCATTGTTTGGAATCTTCTTCAGTTTCCTTCATCAATGTTTTATACTTTTCAGATCATAGGTCTTTCACCTCCTTGGTTAACTTTATTCCTAGGTATTCTTTTTGATGTGACTTTAAACATTTTTTTTTGACTTTTTCTTTTTGATAGCTCATTATTATTGTATAGAAACATAATAGATTTCTGTATATTAATCTTGTATCCTGCAACTTTGCTGAATTCATTTATTAGTTCTAACAGTTTTTGGGTGGAGACTTGAGGGTTTTCTATATATACAGTATCATGTCATCTGCAAATAGTGAAAGTTTTAACTCTTCCCTTCTAATATGGATGCCTTTTATTTCTTTCTTGTCTGATTACTGTGGCTAGGACTTCAAATAATATGTTAAATAGAAGTAGTGAGAGTGGGCATCCTTGTCTTGTTCCTGAATTTAGAAGAAGGCTTTCATTGTTTCACCACTGAGTATGATGCTGGCTATAGGTCTGTCATAAATGACCTTTACTATGTTGAGGTATGTTCTCTCTATATCCACTTTGATGAGAGTTTTTATCACGAACAGATGTTGAATTTTGTCAAATGTTTTTTCTGCATCTATTGAGATGATAATTTGATTTGTGCCTTTTCTTGTGGGAACGTGGTGTATCACATTGATTGATTTGCAAATGTTGAGCCATTCTTGTGACTCTGTAATAAATCCCATTTTATCATGGTGTATGAGCCTTTTTATATATTGTTAGATTTGGTTTGCTAATATTTTGTTAAGGATTTTTACATCCTATATTCATCAATTGGCCTGTAATTTTCTTTCTTGTAGTAGTCTGGCTGCTTTTGGTTATCAGAGAAATGGTGGCCTCGTAGAATGAATTTGGGAATGTTCTATCCTCTTGAATTTGGGGAATAGATTTAGAGGACACGTATTAGTTCTTCTTTATATGTTTGGTAGAATTCCCCTGTGAAGCCATCTAGTCCTAGACTTTTGCTGGCTGGGAGTATTTTTATTACAAATTTAATTTCACTACTAGTGACTGGTCTATTGAAATTATCTATTTCTTCTTAAGTCAGTCTTGGCAGGCTGTATACTTCTAGAAATTCATCCATTTCTTCTAGGTTGTCCAATTTGTTGGCATATAACTGTTGGTAGTATTCTCCTGTGATTTTTTTTTTTAAATCTCTGTGGTATTGGTTGTTATTTCTCCTCTTTCATTTCTTATTTTTTTGGGTCTTCTCTTTTGTTCTTGGTGAGCATGGCTAAAGGCTTATCAATTTTGTTTACCTTTTTAGAAACCCAGCTCTTGGTTTCATTAATCATTTCTATTGTTTTTTTCTTATGTCTATTTTACTTATTTCCCCTCTGATCTCTATTATTTCCTTTCCTCTGCTGATTTTGGGCTTTGCTAATTCTTCTTTTTCTAATTCTTTTAGGTGCTATGTTAGGCTGTTTATTTGAGTTTTTTTTTTTTTTTTTTTTTTGCAGCACGCGGGCCTCTCACTGTTGTGGCCTCTCCCATTGCGGAGCACAGGCTCCGGACGTGCAGGCTCAGCGGCCATGGCTCACGGGCCCAGCCACTCTGCGGCATGTGGGATCTTCCCGGACCGGGGCATGAACTCGTGCCCCCTGCATCGGCAGGCAGACTCTCAACCACTGTGCCACCAGGGAAGACCGAGATCTTTCTTGTTTCTTGAGGAAGGCCTGTATCAGTATCAACTCTTAGAACTGCTTTTGATGCATCCCATAGATTTTTCGAGTGTTTTGTTTCCATTTTCATTTGTCTCAAGGTATTTTCTGATTTCCTCTTTGATTTCCTCATTGACCCATTGGTTTTTTAGTAGCATGTTGCTTAGTCTCTATATGTTTGTTCTTTTCCCATTCTTCTTTCTGAAGTTGATTTCTAGCTTTGTACCATTGTGGTCAGAAAAAAGATGCCTGATATAATTTCTATCCTCTTAAATTACTGATGCTTGTTTTGTGATCTAGTATGTGAGCTCTCATGAAGAATATCCCATATGCTCTTGAAAAGAATGTGTATTCTCCTGTTTTTGGATATAATGTCCTGTAGGTATCAATTACGTGCAAATGTTCTATTGTGTCATTTAAGACCTCCGTTGTCTTTTTGATTTTCTTTCTGGATGATCTGTCCATTGATGTCAATTGGGTATTAAAGTCCCCTACTATTACTGTATTATTGTCAAGTTATCCCGTCATATCTGTTAGTATTTGCTTCATATATTTAGGTGCTCCTGCATTGTGTGCATATATGTTAACGAGTGTAATGTCCTCTTCTTGTATTGAGCCTTTTATCATTATATAATGCCCTTCTTTGTTTTTTGTTATAGCCTTTGTTTTAACATCTATTTTGTCTGACATCAGTTTTGCTACTCCCACTTTCTTGTTGCTTCTGTTTGCATGAAATATCTTTTTTGCACCTGTTCGCTTTCAGTCTGTGTGTATCTTTAGCCCTAAAGTGAGTCTCTTACAGGCAGCATATTGAAGGGTCTTGTTTTTGTACCCAGTGAACCACTTAATTAGAGCATTAGTCCATTGACATTTAAAGTAATTATTAATAGATATGTACGTATTGCCATTTTACTACTTGTTTTCTGGCTGCTTTTGTAGCTTTTTCTGTTCACATCTTTGTTTCTTCTCTAGTGGTTTGACAATTTTCTTTAGTACTATGCTTGTGCTCCTTTCTTTTTAGTTTTTGTGTGTGTATTGTAGGTTTTTGATTTGTGGTTACCCTAGGTTCATGTGTGTTGACCCATAATTATATCTACTTGATTTAAACTGACAGTCATTTAAGTTCAAACCATTTTAAAAGATATACATTTTTACTACCGTCCCCGACATTTTTGTTTTTTGTGTCATATTTTACATCTTCATGTTTATCCCTTAGCTGTTTGTTGTAGTTATAGTTGCTTTTACACTTTTTGTCTTTTAACCTATGTACTGACTTATTTAAGTGATCTTCAACATTTACTATATATTTATCTTTCCTACTGGGATTTTCCATTTCCTATAGATTCTTACTTATTTTCCATTTAGAGATCCTTCAACAGTTCTTTTAGGGTAGGTTTAGTATTGATGAATTCTTTTAGTTTTTGCTTGTCTGAGAAATTCTTTATCTCTTTTTCTATTCTAAATGATAATTTTATTGGGTAGAGTATC